CCACCACCACCTCCAGCCGCCCCGGCGCCCCCCACCTCCGCGCGGCCCGACCCCCTCCCCAGCCGCCGCCACATCCCCGCCGCCCGCGGCCCCTCACCGAGTCTCCGCCACAGCCGGCGGGCGCGCACACGCCGCAGCCCCGGCCCGGCCCGCCACAGCACTCCGCGCAGCCCGGAGCCGCCTCCTTCAGCCCGGGACTCGCCGGGACATCCGCGCACGAATCCCCACACCGGGGCTATTTTTAGGAGTCAGGCCTCGGCCAGACCGGAACTCGTTCTCGGAGGCGCGCGTGCGCACTGCGCGGACGCCCTGGTGTCCCTCCGCCGGCCTCGCCTCTCCCTTCCTCTCGGCTTCCTCTCTTTCTTCTACCCCGGGGTCTCCTCCTAGGGCAGGTTTCTCCTCTCGGTGGGTCCCGAAGGGTTTGGCCTGGGCAGGACGAGGCTGCAGGCAAGGAGAGGCGCGCCCAGTGCGCGGCTAGCGCCGTTCCACAAGGACACGAGGGGCGGACTATGTTTTTCCGGGTGGGTGAGGAGACAGATCACCCGGCACAGGAAGGAGATGACGGCGGCTTGGCGCCGGGGCCGCAGGCTGGAGCGCGCTTCCCTCCGAAAGACCGAGGACTCCTGGAAGGGATGCTGGTCACTTGATGAGGGCCCGGGCGCCTCCCTGGGCGTGGCAGGCTGGCGGCGTCGCGCCCCCGCCGCCGCCTCCTGGACGAGCCGGGGCCCAGGGCTCGGGTGACGCGGCGCGTGACCCACGGTCCCCGCGTTGGCTCCGCGACCACAGCCGGGTCCGGTCGCAGCAGAGCGGCCCAGACGCCCCGTTGCCGTGCCCCGGACCGAGGCCGGCTCCCCGCCTTCGTGCGCCCTGGGCCTGCCCAGACGTCGGCTCGCCACGCCCTCGCTGTGGTCAGGGCCACACCTGGGTCCCGGCCTGGACAGCCGCTGGGTCATGCCCGCTGGGCGAGCGCTGTTGGACCCCGTCCCTGGCCACTCAATCCCAGCAGGGGCTTGGAGAGCAAAAGACACCTTGAGAATAAAGCGACCTGCCTAGTGGGGCTATTAATAGTAGCTGGTACAGCGCTAGCGCTAACGTGTAGCTCACTTAATCCTCACATCCCTGTGAAGTTCAGCTCACTTTCCGTTCCCATCTGACAGGTAGGAAAGGGAAACTGAGAACAACTCTGACCAGGTGGGGCCACACAGCATCAGACAACTCCTTGAACTCCTAACTGCTCAGCTGAACTGATTTTTCTGAGGGGAAAAGATGTCCTTCAAACAACGGTTGTGTTGTTACTGATTTTTGTCCAGAGAGGTCTTCTGGAGGTGAGCCTCTGCCGGGTCTCACCCCAAAAGTTGCCCCCTTCGTAGAGGTCTTGAGGATTGCTTGTGTCCGAACCCAGAGGTGCCCACACGATAAACACACACCAAAACGGACATTTTCGTTAGAAGATGGGGAGATTCAATCCTGTGTTCAGGACTTTAAAACAAGTCTTTGGGGTGGGTGAGCAGCTGTGCAGAGGAACTGGGAAGTCACAAAGGAAGCTGGAGGCTCGCTGGTTTCCTCCCTCAAGGACAACAAGGCAATGTGCTGGAGAGAGTCTGACACAAAGGCAGTACAGAGATACAAGATACCAGACAGCGGAAAATAAGCCCCGGGCTCTGCTCCGAGCCTCACTTCAGTGTTGAGGGGAGTTTGGTGAAGGGGGGTGGAGGGAGCTGTTATCTTCCCCTCTAGTCTGTCAGGCCCTTTTGAAGGAAAAAGGCCTGAGCCCAGAATGCAAGGAGGATTCTAAAACGCACTAAATCTGGTGTAAAACAGCAAAGTATGTGGAAATGCATGTGTTTTAACCCTCCAGAGCTGCAGCAGGAGCAGCAGCAGCTGTATTCAACACTTCTCCAGGAAAAAAGAGCTGCTTTGAGGATTTCCTTCTAAACTAAGGGGTAAAGGACAGCGAGGAATAGCTCCTCCTCGCCAGCTTTTCACCCTGAGAGAGAAGGAAGGGCAATGAGGACAAATTGTTTCAAAAGATTCTTGACCCTTTCATAGCTCCCCCATCTCTGCCCTCCCTATGCAATCCTCCTGGGACCCACAGGACTCACCTCCAGACTGCCCACCCACCATTTAATGCCAATGCTTTTGGTCACCCTAGAAGCCAGGCAGAGAACTTGGTCATAAGTGCAGCCAAGGAAAAAAATGTTTGCGTGGTTCCGGAGAGAACCCTTTTTCTCAGCATCTCCTGCATCACAATGTCATTGCCTAAGAATTAGGAGTGATGGGAGGCTAAAAAGGCAGAGGGAAAGAAGGAGGGGAGGGAAGAGAACACAGCTATTGTAAAATATATTACCAGAGCACACTTGTTAAAAGTATATATTTGGGGAAAGGTGTTGGAGCCTCTACAGATCTCAAAAACCTGCAGCTGAAGTCCAGTATCCAGAAAATTCCAGCACTCAGCTTGGCATGGACCATATGCCCAGCACTTGTGTGTGCTGCTGACTCCAACAGAACCAGTAAGGAGCAGCACTTGGTCCACCTACTCTGTCTGGGCTCCTTAAAGTAACAGTGACCTAGCTTCAGAGGCTCAGCATTGCACTGGGTGCTGGACATGAGTGAAGAAGAGCAGCCCTTCTTCCTACAACAAGGCTGCCAAGTTATAGTGATGCTCCAGCTCAACACACAATCCAGCTTCTCTGCGACCTTGAAAGGGACTTCCTCCTGTGACACAGAACACAGACAAGGAGTAGTGAGGAAGGAAGGTAGGTCATTAGCCACGCCCACAGTAAATCTAAGAAATCAATAGGATGCAAATGAGCCCTCTCATTAGCTCTTAATTTGGAGGCAAAAGAAATAGGGTCCCTGGTCACCCACCCGGTCAGCCTCTTCCTGTCCTAAAAGTCACCTAAAAGTCCCCACTCAGAAAACCCAACAGCTGCTTTGTGCATGTCGGCCTGTTCCTACCTCTAGAGGGTAAACCTTTCTGTATCTGGCACGTCTCTGGGCACTGTTTTATATGGTCCTTCTCTAAGATGGTGCATCAGTGAAAGCACAAGCCTTTCCTTACGTCTGTCTGTCTGCCTGCCTCCCCTTCATGCCATACTCATAGTTGGCATGGAGTACAATTAAATAAATTCTTGTTATAAGTTTACAAGCCTTTCAGCTGAGAGACTGTTCTCCTTGGGGGCCTCTTGAACAAGAGAGGATCCGTGGATGACATGGTGCACCCTCCAGACAGAGGGCCAACAAGTAGTGATGTGTGAGGCTGGAAGTGCAGTTTGAAGTGAGGCAGTACAGAATCTGAACATGCTGTCCTTTTTGCCTTCTATACCAACACCAACGGGGAGCTACCAACAGACACTAAGCAGGTGAAAAGCTTGATCTGTTTGGCAACAGATTAGAGAGATGGAGGAGAAATGGCAGTGAAATGCAAAAGGGGACCTAGGCTGGGTTCTTGCATAAAACAAAGACATAGTTGGGAAACAGGTGAAATATAAACTTTGTAGTTCATATCTATATGATCGATTTATATTAATAGTAACCTAGTTTTGATAATCATATCAAAGAAGAATTTAGTGAATTTACCATGACAGTTTTGAAAGGTTTTGTCAGTCTAAAATTATTTTAGGATAAATAATTTAGGATAAGATAATTTTTTGGTATTTTATAGGTTTCAAATTTCTTAGTTATGATCTTTGGAGTTAATAGAACTGACATGCTGGTTATATGAAGTATTTTTACAGTACAATCTTGTTATTAAGACTCACTTCAATTTGAGCAATATTAAAACCAGTGGTAAATGTTTATAAGTATTTTGGGGTGACCAGTGTTCTGAGTAGAGGGAAAAACATATTCTCTACTTTCAACACAAAGCAGTGAGGTTTCATGTCTGCCATGTACTTGTTCCCAAACTTCAGAACCTGACACGTCCACATGAATAACTTCTAACATTGCCTGATGCATCCTTTTCAAGCATTAAAAGTGCTGTTTTCACTTTTCTTATTTTAATATCACATGGGCTTTTATTCTTGTATGACTGATGATGAAAAGGATGAATGCAGGCTCTCAAAGAAGAGGATAAAAGAGCTTTCCTTGGCTCAGTTAATATTCTTCCCTGTGAAAAATCTACATAAAGATTCAATAAACTTGAAAAACACAAAAACTCGAATCTTTGACAGCTGGGTGTTTTACACAATCAAACTTCAAATAAGTCTTTCAATTCCTATTATATGTTGTCATTTTGTTGTATTGTAGTTTTTTTTTTCCTTCTGTACAGAGTTTATTCAGATTTGCAGTGTTCTCTAACAACCAGCAATAGAGTCGAATGCCAGTTATAGTAATCCCAAACCTTGAGCTTATTATCTTTTCACATTCTGTATCATTCCAAAGACAGACTGTATTTCACATACACACCTAGCACCCACCCACACCAGCCACTTGCATGTGGCGCTCTCATGACTGCTCTCCGCCTTTGTGCTCTTGTCACAGATGTTTCTCCCGAAGGCTGGCACTGTCCTTGGTCCCACCTCAGTAATTTCTTTCACAGCGCATTCCAGCATGACAAACCTCTGCTATGTCTACCAGGATGTCCGTTTAGACCCATTCTGGGTCTAGATGTCCCCCAAGGAGCCCTCATCCAAAGAAAATGGTAGATTCTCTCTATGACACATTTGCAAATTATTCTCAAACTGCAACTCACAGTCTAGCAGGAACTTAAGTCTGTTATAATTGTAAGGTGTTGAGATATGAAACAAAGTTGGGAGTCACCAAAAAGGTAAAGCCACAAAATTTGGAATCAAACAGTCCTTTTGTTCATATCACATCTCTACCAGCTTCTTTCCAAGTGTATTACATTGGGAAAATTGCTCAACCCCAATTTCCTCATACCTGCCCCAACAGCAACTTTATGTGTGATTGCTCATTGATGTATTCCATGGACTTCTGTGAAGACCCTAATATGTTCCAGACCATGTTCTATGCACTGAAAGTACAGACAAGACCCATGTTCTCGTGGGGCTTGTAGTGATGTAGGCAGACCGTAAAACATACGTAAAGTATGTCAGTAAGGACTGTGATAAGGACAAGTCCCTCTACGGAGAATGAAAGAGGGGCTGTGCTGATTCTTTAGCTTTGGATACAGGGAAGGCTTCTCAGACTCAGTGGTATTTAAGCTGAGTGTCCAAAGCCACTAGCAAATGAAGCACTCAGAAGAGGGATTTAAGCAGAGGGGAAAAAAGAAGTACTTGGAGAGAAAAAGGGTTAGTCTCTTCAAAGTACAGAATAATCACAAGCATGGAAGGTAGGTTGGGAGATATGTTTAAACGCTGCAGTTCAGTGTCATTACTTATGGAGGAAAATGAAAATTAAAAATAGATAAAATTACCAGCAGATTAATATGAACTGCTTCCTTATTGTACAAAACAGACTTGAGGCACCTGTCTGTTGAACCACTAGCCAGTTATTTATTTGTTTGTTTGTTTATTATTTATTTATTTCAGCTGTAAGAAATTCAAGTCAAAATGATGTATGCCATAAATCAAAGAGAAAAAATGCGTTGGTTTGTTTACTTGAAGATCCAAGAGCATACAAGTTGCCTCCTTAGCCAGTTTTCTATCTATGGCTTCAGTTGTTGGTGGTCACTAGAAAATGAATACAATAGAATATTTTAAAATAGCAAAGGGTCACATTCACATAACTTTTATTAACCTGTTTCATTATAATTACTCTGTTTTATTATTGCCTATTTTTGTTTTAAATTTTTAATATTTATTTATTGTGTGCACGTCGGTATATGGGTGCATGACTGCCATGCATGTGGAGATCAGAGAACAACTTTCGGGAGCT